TTTTTTTTTTTTGTTTTTTGTTTTTGCGTTTTTGGTGCGTAGTCGGGAGGGCTCTCCGGTTAAGAGCCCTGGATCCCGGACCTCATAAGAGCCTTTTAAAGGAACCCACAAAGGAAGCCTAAAGGAGGCCTTGAACCACAGAGGAACCCTATAGGAGCCCTTGAAGGAACCCACAAAGGAACCCTATAGGAGATTGGATACGGGCTTCTGGTTGAGGGTTTCGGGCTTAGGGTTGTCTCTTTGAAGCTTCAGGGGTGGTTGTTGATGAGCGTTACAAGTACGTCGATTGGCGATACAGCTAGCTATATCCTTAAACCCTAAACCCTACACCCCGAGACCTAAGCCTTAAGCCCTAAACCCTAAACCCTGCGCCCGAAACCCCTAAACCCTAAAGCCTAAACCCTAAACCCTAAACCCTAACTAAACCATATATATATACACATACAATAAATCAATAAAGAAAGAAAGAAAGAAAGAAATGAATATAAATAAATAAATAAATAAATAAATAAATAAATAAATACATATATATATATATATACACATATTCTTTGTTGTTGTCATGTCGTGACTATGTCCTTGATCTTAAAGTCAACCCTGGGCCTGCAACCGCACGGGCATGGGCTTGTCAGCGTTCTTGTTAGGTTCGATTTCATGAGGGTTTAGGGTTTGGGGTTTGGGGTTTCGGGTTTATGGTTTCGTGTTTTTCGGGTTTGGGGTTGAGGGTTTCGAGTTTAGGGTTTTGGGGTGTAGGGTTTCGGGTTTAGGGTTTTGGTTTAGGGTTTAGGGTTGAGAGTAAGTAAGGGGTGTCGTGGCGAGTGTGTAGGCTTCGTCTCATCCGAGCTTGGGACTAGCTCGTGGCTGAACCCTAAACCCTAAATCCTAAATCCTGAACCCTAAACCCTAAATCGTAAGGTTCAGGTCGGTAGGAGCAAGGCTGCGAGTCCGGTACTTGCAGATTTAGAAGGTTACCCAGCGTTATCTGTGAATCCTCTCCCGCACCCGCGAGCCCTAAAGCCGTAAGAAAGCAACACCCCGAAGCATCAACAATCCTACTGTTGATGATATGAATCCTGCATTACCTTACGGACCCTAAACTTTGGGAATTGTGGTATACTCCTTGTTATGGGTAATGCAGGACTTATATCATCAGCCGTAACACTAGAACCAAAAGTCCTCAACCCAAGCCCGACAAAGACCCCAAACCCTCCACCATAAGCCCTCCCAAAGCCCTGTGAACTTGAAACGCGAAACCCTTGAAGCCCTAAACCCTAAGCCCTGAACCCTTGAAGCCCTAAACAATGAAGCACAAAACCGTAAAATCCTTAAACCCGGTGCCCAGCACTTGGGGAAGTGCAGGACTTGGATGCAAAGCCGCATTTGCCAGTGCAGTCCTCGACTTCTTTTCCGGCCTGCCACTGGTGTTTGTTTCAGGGTGTAGGAGTTACGGCTTCTAACGCTTGGTGCTTTTGTTGATATAGCTTTTTGGGGTCTCGGCATGTTCAGGGTCTTAGTCAAGGACGTAGGGTTTCGTATTTTAGGGTCCAGGGGCTTGTGGGCTCCTCATGGTGAGCTTGAGCTTTGACTTGAAGGAAGTGTCTGGCTTTACTCTTTGAAGATGCGCAGGGCCTCCCCGAATCCTGGCAAGGAGAGAATTGAAAGCCGATTCCCCATATCCAACAGGCACTCCTCCGTAAAGTTGCTAAACCCAAACCCTAAACCCTAAACCCTAAAGCCTATAAAGCCTAAACCCTGGACTGCTGAACCCGTCGACTTCTCAACCCACATTGTCTACTGTATGCCCCGAACCCTATTTCCCGGCGTCCTCATGTCCTTGAATCCGAAGAGGGGTAAATGGGGTTTAGGGTTTAAGGTTTCCGGTTCGACGTGGGGGTTCTTTGAATCAGGGTGCCTGTTTCGAACTTCCCTACATGTGCAACATAGAGATTGTTTCAAGGAGTGGGGGTTGCATGCAATGCAGTGCAACCAATAGGGGCTGCGAGGGTGACATGGTTATTTTTTGGGAGATTCCCTAAACCCTAAACCCTTGACCCTAAACCGAGCGTCTTGTAGGATAAGGCAACCTAAGGTGCTGTCGCTATAAAGGTCCCCTGGGGATTTTTCAAGGACCCATCCTGTTTAGAGGGTTCTGGGGTTGACAACTTTTGGTTGGTGTTTAAGGCTTTGGCAGTTGTTATGTTTTCTGGTTTATGGCTGGCCGAGATTAAGTTTAGCTTGCCTCCTAACCCAAAATCTTCCAGAATTAGACCCTGGATCCCAAAGTACACCAGCACCTCTAAATCCGACTTACAAAAGAGCTTATCATGGAACCGTCATAGAACTCTGATTCTGGAACCCCGTCAAAGCCTTCATCCGTCAACCACAAAACCCCAAAATCCTCGCAGATCCCCATGGTATTGTACACCCCATGAAGGCTTCAAGGGAGCCTATAAGCAGTATAAGCCGGCGACTTCATACCATTAGAGAACCCGTTTTGGATTATTCTGCCCTGATTACAGAACCCTTCAAGAACCCAGTACAACTCCTTACGGAGTCTTTGCTGTAGAAGCCTCGAAATCCTAAAAACACTAAACCGTTATAGAATCACTTCAAAACCTGTTATCGAACCCCGATAAAACCCTTTGTAGGATCCTTATCTAGCATCCTACAGCCCTAGAAAACCCTCAGCTAAATCCTCGAATTTCCGCCCAGGAGACAGAGCTGGAGATGCGGCAGCAGCTGCGGCAGGAACTTGCCGAGGTCCTGCCCTCCGCTGAACGCTTTGGGTTCAGGGTTTAGGGCCTTTTACCTTTTGTGGTTTAGGGTTTAGGGTTCGGGGTTTAAGGGTTTCGGGTTTAAAGGGGTTTGGTGGTGTCGGGTTTAAAGGAATTGAGAAAACAAGGGCTCTACCACATTCTATAGTACGGGTTCTAAAATCATTGTTCTGTGACAAGGATTCTAAGATGAGCGTTCTCTAACGGGAACCTTTCATGATGACACGCCATGACTGGTGGGAAGTGCCCCAGTCTTAGTTTAGTATAGTACGGATTCTATAATGATTGTTCTGTGACAAGGGTTCTAAGATGAGCGTTCTATAACGAGGAATCTTTCATAATGAGACGCCATGACTGGTGGGAAGTGCCCTAGTTCAGCACCAGAAGTGTTAAATCCAGCTGGATGTCTTGTGGACACGATGTAGAGGTTCCAGTGGCAAGAGCCTGTCTGCTGTCCAGCCAAGAAGTTTTGACTTGCAGACAGCTGTCGCACACCGTGGAGGGTTGGAAACATGAGTAATGCAGACCGCTGATTTGCCAGTCTTTTCTGCTTGACAACCCTAAGCCCGAAGCCCTAAACCCCTCAACTCCTGAACCCCTAAACCCCTAATCCTCAAACCCCTAAACTCGTAAACCCCTAAACNNCCCCTAAACCCTTAAACCCAAAACCTGCTAGCACGATCAGTAAGGGGTCTACATTGCATGCCTTAGAGCCTCAACCTATGCCCTGGAAGCACGACCCGTCCTCCTGGGCTCCGGGAAGCACTCCGAAGCCTGGTTAACGGTTTAGGGATTTAGGGGTTTAG